GCTGGATTGAACCAGGCTACTCTCTGCTTTAAGGTGAATGGAATGAGGAAAATGAAGACATATTTTCACAGAATTGACAGTCTCATTTGACATCCTTTCTCAAGGATACAGTGTCAAAGCAATAGTGTCAGCTGTGTGTGCATTCTAAAATAAATCATCATGCCCTTTCTTCAGTGATCCTGATGATAGAGTTCACAAGCTATTTCCTACTACTTTGGCCTTCAAGTGAAAAGGACAGACCAGGATTTCCTTGAAGGACTCAGGTCATTGATGTTGCCCCACCTCTGTCTTAAGCTCTATAAAACCATTGCTCAGAAAGCAAGAGAGTATCAGAAAGATCCAACCTGACTCTCCACCACTTCTGTCCATTCAGAACAAGAAGACCATCCCAAGGTAAGTGGCTGAAGAAATAAGATTCTTACTAAGAGGGCTTCTTCTCAGGCTATAGAAAATGTAAAAGGACTTGTTGTCAAAGACTTTCAAGCAAAGTAGTGGTAGAGATGGATGAACAAGGATTTCTGGGAATATTTAAATAGAGAAAAAACAATCTAAGTCATTGCTGTCAACCCTCATTAATTGATAACATTGGAGAACAACAGCGTAAATTATAAAAATGTTCAGCTTTCCTTGAGCAACAGTCAGATATTTTCTTGGGATCAGTATAAAATTGATTTCCTGCTATCATCTTCTTTTAGCCTTCCTGTTTTGGAAACTTAATGGTCTCCTCTTTTTTTAAACTATTAGCCCATCTAGCTTTTCCAGATTAGACAAGGTCAAGTAGAGTGTGCTGTCTAATCTCAGCCTGGTTTCATAGACTCATCCATGTCATTTAGAGAAGTGGTTCATTACTATGTTCTTCTGGATGTTTCTTTGACTTTTCAGATTCATATACTATCATGCAATTTTCTGATAGGTTCCATCCAAAAATTAGCAAGGTATGATCTTGCTTAGTTTTTTATGATCAATTGAGATTATCCAATTGTTATCACTCTACATCTAAGTAATTTTCATTTAATATAAGCAAAATTAAATATTTATTTATAGGACATATGGCCATCTATCTCGTACAAAGACTCAGTTTTGTCCAAGTAGCACTCACAACTTTTAAAACAAGACCATATTCGAGCCTCTCAAATGACGTCTGATCCTCAGAAGTGTTTTATTTCCTTGTTTTATATTTTGCTTAGTTGCTGAGCACCTGTTTCTCAGTGCTCATGATTAATTTATGTCCCACTGATTTCAGTGGACCTGATGAAAATATTATATTTAGTTCCAATCCTTTACTAAATATATAGCTGATGGCAGTCAAGGAAGAAAAGAGTAGGATATGAAATGTAACTTTAAAAATGCATGCTTCCTTTCTATAGTTGGGTTGGTGCATGGCAGCAAACAGATTTCTTGTATTTTGTATTTCTTTCTCTCTTTGAAGATTAGCCAAACAATGGGTCTCCTTGCCTACTTCAGCCTTTGTGTTCTTGGCATCTTCTTCACCAGTCCTTTGCTTCAAGGTGAGTTCCTTTGTCACATTTCAATGGTTTTCAACTCCCTGCACGATTTTTCAAAAAATAAAAGAAACAAGAGTTATCTTACAGTATAAGGACCTCATTAATGTCAAAGTGATAATAACTACCTAATGAAAGATCTCTAACCCTTCCTTTCACACTTGGGGGTCTTCTTGAATTCTTCTAATTAGCCACAAGGTGAAAAAAATATTGAATTAGACAACCCAATCTTGAATTCTGTGAAGGATTAACTTTCTGCGCAGGATCCAAAAAGATCTTGACAGACTTGAACAATGGGCCCCTATCCAACAACATGAAATGAAGGGGGAGCAAAACAAGGTGTTACACTTAGGCAGGAAAAGCCAAAGGTACAAGTATAGATTAAGTGAAACCTGACTTAACAAGCAGTAACTGTGAGAGGAACTGGGAGTCCTAGTCAACGATCCCTTAAACATGAGCCAGCAATGTATGAGAGCAACCAAAAATGCTAATACGATCCTTGGTTGTATAAACAGAGGCATAGAATCAAAATCACATAAAGTTATAGTCCACTTTATAAAACCTTAGTAAGACACACCTAGAATACTGCATCCAGTTTTGGTCACCACATTACAAAAAAGATGTTGAGACTTTGGAAAAAGTGCAAAGAACAGCAATTAAGATGATTAAAGGCCTGGAGACAAAAACTTATGAAGAACAGTTGCAGGAATTGGGTGTGGCTAGTTCAGAGATAAAAAGGATTAGGCATGACATGATAGCAGTATTCCAGTATTTGAGGGGCCACCACCAAAAGAGGGGGTCAACTTATTTTTGAAAGCTCCAGAAGGCAAGACAAGAAACAATGGATGGAAGCTACCCATTGAGAGAAGCAACCTGGAATTAAGGAGAAATTTCCTAATAATGAAGACAATTAACCAATGGAACAACTTGCCTTTGAAGCTGTAGGTCAGGGATGTCAAACTCAATTTCATTGAGGGCCACATCAGGGTTGTGTTTGATCTTGGGGGACAGAGTGGTTGTGACCAGGGTGGGTGTGGCCAGCTTGATATCACTCGTGTTGGGGGCATCTATAATGACCCGAGCACTCTGCCAGCAAAAAAGGGCTCCCAAGCTCCGTTTTTGGTGGCAGAAGGGTGCAGGAGGTTGTTCCAGCCAAAAATGGAGCCTGAGAGGGCAGAATGCATCCCACCTGAACTCCATTTTCTGGCAGAGGCACCATGGGCTGGTCCTTTGCTGCTTTTTAGATGGCCCCATGGGCCAGATCGAAGCACTTCGTGGACTGGATTTGTCCCCCGTACCTTGAGTTTGCAAGCACCCTTGCTGTAGGTGCTTCATCACTGGAGGTTTTTAAGAAGAGATTGGATAGCCATTTGTCTGAAATGGTATAGCAACTCCTGTTTGAGCAGGGAGTTGGATTATAAGCCTTCCAATGACTCTTCCAGATCTATTCTGAAACAAGATGTTTCTTTTGTTCCCAGATTCTATGAAGATAACATATTGCCCTATTTTTTAATCTTCTTTTTCACTGCCTTCTTTCAATGCAGTTGAAGCTGACACCTGTGCGAGGGAGTGGCTGCAAAACCAAGGCAACTGCTATGCATACTTTGATCAGCAGTTGACATGGCATGAAGCTGAGGTAAGAAGCATTTTTCACAATCAACATCTTCTGTAATGAACGATCTACAGATTTTGGAAAAATACTGTAGGGTGATTGCTAGATTGGATTTATCTGTGATACAGAAGAGTTACAGTAAGTAATGTATCTCACCATCCTGTATTTGAAACTTATACATTATTTTCCAACACTCTGAATTAAGATACTGTTGAATTTTGAGCTGGAAGGAAACAAGTTTAAGTGCCAATATAGGATTTGACTAAGTTGATCTGTAATATTATCATCTCCTAGTTACTAGAACCTAGTAAGACTTTAAATATCTCTTCAATTCACATTGTGCAAATGACTGAGTGATTGTGCATATTTAGAATTTTACAAAGTTCAACACGTGGGAAATTTCACAGATTCTGGTGTTGTGGAAAATGATCACAGAAGTCATATTCTTTTGGCTTTCTTCAGATTGAGTGCCAGAGCTACGGCCGTGGGGCCCACCTTGCCTCCATCCTTACCAAAGCAGAGACTCTCCTGGTGGCTGAGCACGTCTCCACTTACCAACGGGAATTCAGTAATGTCTGGATTGGTCTCCATGATGTCCGTCAGGTGAGAACATCTGATTTAACTCTGTTCCTATAGATCACTAACAGCAATAACACAATGTTTATTGATTTGCCTTAATCCTGTAGACTCCTGCTCCATACTTTGCCACTAAAATATTCAATACCTCGAAATCATAGACTAAAATTACCAGCCAATCTCTAGTATTCATTCTCCTATGCACATTTTCTTTCCACAGACTGGGAAATGGAGATGGGCTGATGAATCCACCTATAACTACAAATCCTGGATGAACTATCAGCCAGACAATTATGGCAACAATGAGCATTGTGTGGAGCTACGACGATCCACCGGTAAGCAAACCTCTCAGGTGTAGGACATTTTGACATTATAAACAACATGGATTTGCAATCAATTTGGTCAAGTTTGCATCTCATCTTTTTTCAATAGTCTGCCTTGGAGAAATTCTTAGGTCTAATTATAGGAGAGAAATGGATGAAAGTCTCAATAACAATCATAAAGATCAATGATTTACTAGGCAAAATTAAACCCAAACTAGCTTTTTTCTTGTCTCGTTACAAAGAAAGATTCATATATATGTATTTGTGTGTATTTTGCATGGGTTCATTCATTTATCTGGGCTATCCATTTTGGGAAAAACTAAAGTAATGCTCCCCCCAAATAATAATACTTTTCATTTGCATTTTAGGTTTTAAACAATGGAATGACATTCAATGCAATGCACGTAATGCCTACATCTGCAAACACCAGCTGTAAAGCTGCCTGATGCTTCTCCTTGTGCTTCCCAGGATGTTGACATGATGAGCTGCTTTCCTTCTAATCTCATCACCTTCTCACATTCCACAGAGATAAAGTTCACCTTTATTCTCTTCAAAACAGCTTACAAGAACTACCTCTTTGGTCACCTTCTTCTCCTGAGTCTTTGTTGTGTCTTGCACACAATGCAATATCAATAAAAATGTTCTGATGCAAATCCTTTCTGAAGTTTTCATTCTTGGTTCATTTACCCTCCTCTCCATTAAGAAGATGCAAAGAAGGGCAGAGTCATTTGTGCCTCTTTCTCAGTTGTGAAGATGTAGAACTTATGCATGGTGCTCATGTATCAAAAGGTCTTCCTTTCCAAATTCCCCATTTTGCATACCCTGTTAACAGCATGGGCCTCCTTTCGATCTGGATGTCAGTGGGTGTCCCACAAGTTTTGACAAGATTTTATTTTTATGACAATTGAGCTCTAGCTGGTTTTCCTTGTGGTATTGCCCTCAGTGCTCTTCTAAGATCAATGTTCTTGAAAGTGTTCACTTCATGATCTACATCAATCGGAACAGAGATACGTTTTCCAGTAATTCTGGGGGATTGAAAGTTTGTGTTGTGGAGATGACTATGGAGTTAATACAAAAACTGAATATGAGTGGAGCCAACATGTAGCTTAACTTGACACCTTTCTGAGTTTCAATGGCACTAGTGAGATGGCCCTGAGCAGCAGTGGGTGATTACACATGCACCTAACTACCAGTTTGGTGATTGCACATGCACCTAACACATGAGCACAGCTTTCCACACACCAGCTGAAGCCTGCAGCACCAATCAACTGAGAAGATAAAGAAGACAAAAGCACAAAGGCAGGTGGGAGGGCAGATCCTGCACTTTTCTCTTCTTTCTCCTCTCAACTGATCGTCGAAGGCTTGTTTTTTACTACCAATTGGACAGAACCAGTAGCAATTTTTGCTACCAGTTGGGCCAAACTGGTAACATACCACCACTGGCCCTGAAGGTTACATGTTACTTGGAATGATGTCTATTCATATATATTAAATGAAGTAAATGTTGGTCAATCAAGGCGACCTCTTGCTTTTCCTACAATTTAGTCTGGCTGTGGAATCTAATGCTGCTTTGAATTCTATGAAGGCAGAATAAATAGCAGTGTTACAGGAGGAGTATTTTTCAATGTGACAATGGAGAACTAGATACTGGTCAATAGTGATTGGCCATTGGCCTTCTGAATATCTTTTCTAAGACCTTCATGACTACTCTACCAAGTTTTAGTCTAAAGTGTATTTCTTGCCTGCTTATTCTTTTACTACCGATGGCTGATTATAATAGGGAGACATTTTCTCCCTATCTTGTGTATAAAACTTCCATGCACTTCTTGAATTTTTCCCCTTATCACCTCACATTCCCTTTCAGTCAGAATACTGCCAATGACTTTCTTAGAATCTATACCAAACTAATCCCTCTGAGGCTTTCATAGTTTAATTTGCAAGTTTTCCCCTTACACGGGAGAATAAAAATAGCAAATAATATTCAATTTAAGATGTACAGATAATAAAACATTAAATATTGCAACTTTGGCAGCCAATCCATCAACAAACCACAATCATATTTTAACATTTCTCACTTACACCATTTCTACCTGGCATTCAGAGGTGGTATTCAGCAGGTTCTGACCAGTTTTGGAGAACTGGTAGTGGAAATTTTGAATTGTTTGGAGAACCAGCAAATACCACTTCTGACTGGGCCCACCCCCATCTATTCTCTGCCTCCTGAGTCCCAGATGACTCTTTTGTTGCCCTGCATAGGAGAACGGAGCTGGAAAGCAGGTTAGTGGGGTGGGAGGGAATGGAATTTTGCAGTAACTTTCCCTCAGGAGTGGGGAAGGAATGGAGATTTTGCAGTATCCTTCCCTTGCCATGGCCACCAAGCCATGGCCACCAAGCCACGCCATGCCCACAGAATCGGTAGTATTTTAAATCCCACCACTGCTGGCATCATACCATTTTCCAAACTTCTCACAACAGTCAGGACATCCTTTTCATCTAATTTGTTTTCCTGGACATTAGTTAGTTTTGTTTGAATTCTTTTTTCAAGTGTATTCCCATACAGGTGCTCCTTCCAGCAATTCTCTCACTTCCATTTTGTTAAATCCCTCAAATCATTTCATAATTTTGATTTTTCATCCCATTCATAATTTGCTCTGCTGTTTATAAACCTAGATTTTGGATCAAGTTCTCCCACTTACCAGTTGTTTAATTTACCAATCATTCTCAATGCAGTTACTTCCCCTGGAAGAAAGTCCCAAATTACAGTACTGGAATTGCATCATTCGTTGCATAATATTCAATTGGACTTGAAAAATATCCCTTACTCTGACTTTTTCACCATCCAACAAAACCATCTATTTGGCCACCATCTGAGTGGTCTTCCTCTTTTAGCTTGTGTGGCTGAGCTTTAGATCATTTAGATTCAAGTAAAAAGCTTGCTCTCTCATGTCGCTATCATTCAAGAAAAAGGTCATTTTTTTTTGTTTAACAGGCAGAAAAAGAAATTTGGGAAGGACCCACTTTTTCATTAGAATACAGATTACCCGAGTTAGAAGGGACCTTGTAGGTCATCTAGTCCAACCCCCTGTTCAAGCAGGAGAACCTATACCATTTCTGACAAGTGGTTGTTCAGTCTCTTCTTGAAAGCTGATGAAAGCACCCACAACTTCTGAAGGCAAGCTGTTCAATTTTTTGATTGTTCTCACTTTCAGAAAATGACTCCTTATTTCTAGGTTGAATCTCTGCTTGATCAGTTTCCATCCATTATTCCTTGTCTGGCCTTCAAGTACTTTGGAAAATATCTTGACCCCCTCCTCTCTGTAAACAGCCCCTCAAATATTGGAACACTGTTATCATGTTACCCCTGGTCCTTCTCTTCACTAGACTAGCCATGCCCAGTTCCTGCCATATTACCTATGTTTTAGCCTCCAGTCCCCTAATCATTTTCATTGCTCTTCTCTTCACTCTTTCTAGAGTCTCAACATCTTTTTTATAGTGTGGTGACCAAAACTGGATGCAGTATTCTAGGTGTAGTCTTACTAAGGCTTTATAGAGTAATATTAGGACCTTGATTCAATCCCTCTATTAACGCAATTTAGGATTGCTTTGGTTTTTTTGCCTGCTGCTGCACACTACTGGCTCATATTTAGAATAAAATATAGAGTAAGAGAGTTGGAAGGGATCTTGGAGGTCTTCTAGTCCAACCTCCTGCTTAGGCAAAAAAACCCTATAGCATTTTAGACAAATAGTTGTCCAATTGTTCTGATCCAGGGGTGGGATTCTATAGATTCGCACCTATTCTAAGCAGTTTGGAGAACCAGTTTTTAGAAGAAATTACTGGCCTAATCTGGTAAGGAAGGCAGGAAGGAAACATTCTGGTGTTGCTTACAGAAACTGCCTCTCCATTAACTCTTATTACATTCTTGGCAGGACTAGACTTCCTGTCTCAGGAACTTCTCTAGAGTTTTTTTTTCCCTCCTTTGCTGGTACTTTGCTTGTGTGGAGGGACCATTCAAAGTTACAATGGCACTGAAAAAAGTGACTTATGACCATTTTTCACACTTATGACTGTTGCAGCATCTCCACAGTCATGAGAGACCAGGCGAGGAGATGCGTGCCTCGATGTGAGTGATGTTGAGTTTGCCACACCCAGCCAGTCACATGACCACCAAGCCAAGCCCACCAACTAAGTCGCACCCACAGAACCGGTTGTTAAAAAATTTGAATCCCACCCTTGTTCTGACCCAAACCCTTTTCCAATAAAACAAACATGAACCAAAGAGAATAGAAACCTTTTAATGATTCTTATGAATCCTCAGTTAAAACTAATTAACTTTGATAAGCACAAGCCTCACCAAAGCTGTGTGAACTGCCAAGAATAACAGATAACAATAACAGATAAGAAATATTTTACAACACAAGAGTCTTCAAATACTAACTTAAGATACTGCAATGTCCACAAGACTGGAGTTTCAAAGCATTTTTGCTTCCTACAAAGAACATCTGATTCACAGCTGGCTTTTATCTTCTTGAAGGAGGGGCCATTACCTTGCAGCCTTACTCCTGAGTCTCCTGTACTGCTGCAGCTGCTCTCTCCTGTGAGCAGCCCTGCGCACATGCGCACTTGACACAGGCTCCTCGGAAACCTCCTCATTGCTGCTGCCAGCCCTCACAATCTCTGAAGGCAGCAGTCCACTCCCTAATGGTCCTGGGTCCTCATCTGAGTCCTCACTCTCCACAACTGTTCACATTTGCTGTCGGCTAACCACAGCACCAATCTTTTCTTAAGAACTTCCAGTGTTGGAGCATTTACAACTTCTGGAGGTAAGTTGTTCCACTGATTAAGCAAGCTGGTGCACTGATTAATATTTAATTGATTGTCCACTAGGACACCAAGATCCCTCTCACAATTACTGCTATTAAGCCAGGTTTCATCTAATCTGTATGTGTACTTTTGTTTTTTCTTGCCTGACTTTACTTTTCTCTACACTGAATTCCATTTTGTTAGATATTATTTATAGATTTATTATTTATAGATTTGTTTGAAGTATCAAACCATTCAAAGTGATGGCAAGAGATTTGTACTTTCAGACTGTCAAGATGCCATTATTATAACCTTATAATAAAGTAAAATTGGCTTATCTGATTGTGTATTCTATCAAATTTACCTGGATGGACTGACAGTCCTCTGGACCTGGATCAGTTGTCGTATAACTTGCAGGCCAAGGTGGTTTTTTTTTTTTTAATAATCCAACAAAGTAACAAGCTGATTCAACTCTACTTATCTTATATATCTTATTGTGTGGTTGCTCTTATTTTTGTGTCAATGTGCATTGTTTTAAAGTGAGCCCTTCTTGACTTTTCAAGAAGAGGCATTTGAATAAAATAAGAAAATCTGGAGGATGGAGCATCCAGATATATCGGGTATATTTTGCTCACCAAGTGATATTTTGTTGAGACCCTTTGCCATCTTCATTCTGACATAGCCACTAAGAATTGTATTACCTACAACTCAAATTATTTGATGCTCTTTTTGGCTGCCATAAATGAAAAGAAATTTGTGCAGTTTGTGGTGGAGGGTTGAAAATAATTGTTCATCCTGAAATTCTGTGTCCTCCACGCTGGTTAAAAGTACAAAAATGTCTTCAAAACAAATTATGTTTGAAAAAAATAGAGCAGACAGCAGAATGATATCCCTATTTGCAACAATAAAAAAGTCATTACCATTAACAAGAGAATAGCCAAAAGAGATCCAGATGGAAATGATAGCAGATTTTCTCACTTGAGAAGAAATGAGATCTTAAAGATATCCAGCAATAGTAACCTGTGCTTTCTTAAATAAAGCATCTATATTTAAATTCAAAAATACAAAATAAAAGGTAGAATCCTGCAATTGTTCCAAAATGAAGAATGTGGTTCAAATGATTCTATCTTTTAAGGATCTCATGCTGTTTTTAAGAAAGGAAAAAGCAAAAAAATATTGTAGCAAAAGAATATTTTAGACATAAATGTAGAGATGTATTTCTATTTCAAGGAGCAGAAACTTGAAGACCAAGGCAAT